TCCCATGCCATCAATGCTTGAATATATATATATATATATATATTTTTTTTTTTTTTTTTTGGTTCAATTTCAACACGAAATTAATCCGTGTCATTGGCAAATTTATTTTTACATTTTCTTAAAAAAATAGGTTAATAATTTTAATATGCATGATAATTGTGGACCTTGTACCGCTACGAATTGTGGCCAATTACTTTATGCTCCAAATAACAGCAGAGCGATAAATGTCGAGCCTCTACCCGGCCAGCCAGACAATGTAATTGATTTTATATACCAGTAACAGCTAAATATATATTTTAAATGATTTTAAGGTCATCAATTTTCATAAAACAATTAAAAGATTGTTGAGTTCGGCCGGGCCGAATTTTTTATACCCTCCACAGCGTGGTATGCATTCAAAATACCTTTAATCGCTCGGAACACTTACATGGTAGTATGTTGTTCATTATGAGGTAGTATGTTGTTGTTACATTATGAGGTAGTATGTTGTTCTTGCCTTAGACAAAATATTCAAAGTACAGGCATTCAATTTGGAAAACTGCCCCTGTATTCTGTAACTTTTTAACAATCGATATTGTCTATTTTACAACAATTTCATTTGTTTGTTTCAGGGACCGTAACGGTTATAACTTATATCAAATCAGGTAAAAAATAACTGTTATTATGTGACCTAAATAAAAAAAATCCACTTTAATTATTTATTTTTTAACGAAAAAAATAAACGTTGATTTTTAACTGTTAAAAATGATTTTTATTTTTTCCGTCAAAAATAAAAGACTTTTTGGGACTTTTATTTTTTCCGTCAAAAATAACAGTCTTTTTGGGACTTTTATTTTTTCCGTCAAAAATAAAAGTCTTTTTGGGACTTTTATTTTTTCCGTCAAAAATAACAGTCTTTTTGGGACTTTTATTTTTTCCGTCAAAAATAAAAGTATTTTTGGGACTTTTATTTTTTCCGTCAATAATAAAAGTCTTTTTGTGATTTTTATTTTTTCCGTCAGAAAATAAAAGTCTTTTTACGTAAATAAACATATAGAGTTTGGTACCAGTTATATAACCTTTGACCTAATAGTCAGGGGAATGATTCTTTAATTTATATTCATGATTTGGTACACTAGACTATTTTTTAAAAATTCATAACAAATATTTTTTACCCTTGATCTTGATTACTTATGTGTACACTTATTGTAATAAGGACAGAGATTTATAAATTGTAATTTTATAACTGATTACAAGTTGTATAAACTTCTTTACATAAAAAAAGTTTTATTTCCTGACGGAAAAAATAAAAATCCCAAAAAGACTTTTATTTTCTGACGGAAAAAATAAAAATCCCAAAAAGACTTTTATTTTTGACGGAAAAAATAAAAGTCCCAAAAAGACTGTTATTTTTGACGGAAAAAATAAAAATCATTTTTAACAGTTAAAAATCAACGTTTATTTTTTCCGTTAAAAAATAATCCTTAACATGGGAACTGAGAGTGTTTTCTCAAGATGACTCAATATCCTTAATGGGCTCCTCAGTACGAATCTATTGGTATATGACACTATTGGTGTCCCATGTCTCTAACATGAAGATTTTTTTGTTCGCATTTTAAAAAATAACTGTTATTTTCGGTCCCTGGTTTGTTTTATTGTTTTTACAATAACAAAAGAAATTTAAACAATATCGAAAGTTGTTAAAAGTTACAGAATAGGCCTACTGGATCAGGCGTGGATTTTTAAAAAAGAATTTTTCAGGCGTGGATTTTTAAAAAATAATTTTTCAGGCGTGGATTTTTAAAAAATAATTTTTCAGGCGTGGATTTTTAAAAAAGAATTTTTCAGGCGTGGATTTTTAAAAAAATAATTTTTCAGGCTTGGATTTTTAAAAAATAATTTTTCAGGCGTGGATTTTTAAAAAAATAATTTTTCAGGCTTGGATTTTTAAAAAAGAATTTTTCATCCGTGGATTTTTAAAAAATAATTTTTCAGGCGTGGATTTTTAAAAAATAATTTTTCAGGCGTGGATTTTTAAAAACGACTTTTTCAGGCGTGGATTTTTAAAAACGAATTTTTCAGGCGTGGATTTTTAAAAAAGAATTTTTCAGGCGTGGATTTTTAAAAAATAATTTTTCAGGCGTGGATTTTTAAAAAAGAATTTTTTAGGCGTGGATTTTTAAAAAAGAATTTTCAGGCGTGGATTTTTAAAAAATAATTTTTCAGGCGTGGATTTTTAAAAAAGAATTTTTCAGGCGTGGATTTTTAAAAAAGAATTTTTCAGGCGTGGATTTTTAAAAAAGAATTTTTCAGGCTTGGATTTTTAAAAAAGAATTTTTCAGGCGTGGATTTTTAAACAAGAATTTTTCAGGCGTGGATTTTTAAAAAAGAATTTTTCAGGCGTGGATTTTTAAAAAAGAATTTTTCAGGCGTGGATTTTTAAAAAAGATTTTTTCAGAAGAAATTTTCGGAGACAATTTTTCAAACATGTCCACCGAAATTTTGGATTTAGCTGCTGGAATTTGGGATTTAGCTACCCTAAAAACGTCGAAAACGTGCCCAAAAATATGCGCATATATTTAGAGCCCCATTGTCAGTATTTTGAAGGTTTTTAGTCACACTTTCATTTTAGTGGTTGTAATTTGGCATTCTGGTATATTGGAGGGTAAAACATTTGTTTCCGGAAAATTGTCTATGTTTTTATATTACCTCACATATATGTCCCGGTTAAAGAATTTCAATCTTTAAAAACTATAGTTTTGCATAGGCCAAAAAATTAATATAGTAGCCTTGATACATTCATCCATATTTGGATGGATGTATCAACTATCACTGAACATTAACATTCTGCATATCTATATTACGAGCCTGGACAATTTTTCGCGATATTTCCACCCTCTTGACCGATTATAAGCCAAGAGCTTTCAACCTGGCAATCTTTCTTACCCTGGCAATCTTTCTGAACCATATTTTCCCGGAGTAAATCTTTACGCCATAAGATTCCGACATTGTTATTTTACACACAGAAGTATTTTTTCATTTGATCCGATGATTATCAAAGCAGCCATTGTAATTAGTTGTCCAGAACCGGTTTCATCCCCTATATAACATCACCGAAATTTTAGGCGTCGTCCTTGGCCATAAACGAAATTCATGTAAAATTTGAAAGCGATCCGCACCCTCTTGTGTGCTAATGGTAATCCCAAACAAAATCAGAATAGTTAGACCCCCATACATATAACTTCCACATCCGAGGACACACAAGAATATAATTGATATCAATTTAAAAGGCCAACCACTTATATTTGATATACTGTCAACTTCTCCAGCCTATGTGCTTTAGGAGTAAATACACACGCCATGGGTTGCAAATCTTGCCATTTTTCAGGCAAATATCTGGATCCCCTCGATAAGTGTGGCCTCTGAGATAACGGACAAAAATATAGATTTTGGTCCATTTGATCCCCTAAATATTAACCGATCATTACCAAAAACAATAAGGCGGGAAAGGACCTACATGCAAACTTTTGTGACGATTACTCCACATAATGGATTGTTCAGTTAGTCGATATGGACGATCGGTACACTAAAATGTCTAATATCAATATTTCGCAGGATTAGACATTTTGGGGCCAGACAAAGCTTTAAAACATTTACATAATTATGTTTGAACCGTATTTTCCAATAACGGATTTTTGTACCGGTTTTTATAATTTGAAATCCAACACATATTTATAATTTCACGACTTACCCTAATAAGTGTCAAACTTACAATAGGAAATGTCACATGGCGCCCAACAGTACTTAGTGTTTTTCTTAGCATTATAACTGTTTTCCAAATTTTTTGACGTATGTCATTTCCAACAGATCTGCGGACACACGTGGTCACAACAATTTATCAAGAATGCTTCTTCTCCCAAATATATTTATTTGAAAATGGAATATGTCAATATAAACTTGTCATTGTAACCGATCAATTACACACACACACTCCCACACATCCGAACTATAACAATTTAACGCATCACGCTTCAAATAGTAATGTCAATTATCTAGAACTTATCAAGATATGAATTTACTTTGGTCATTTAAATGACAAACTAAACAATGATGTTAATGAAAATTACAACAAAAAAAGAAACAACAACAAAAACATTTCACACCTCTTGCGAAGAAACCTAACGTTTTACATTGATATTGATCACACCGAACCCCACTGGAGAGAACCCCCATTCATTGGGGTTACATGTGCCCGTGTATGAATGAACGAAGTGCTTCACCTATGTAAACAATAACACGGTTCTGCTGCTGCTAACTGACTGGCTGGCTCGCTGGAAACAGAAGTACCTATTCCAGCTGCTGCTGTTTACTGCTGCTTATGGGCATTTGGAACGTGGCTCTGGCTATCTGAAATAAAACAAATGACAATAACAACAAAAATGATTATTATTATATTTATTGATAAGTGCATTGAATATTCTGTAAAAAACAGGTGAATTGTTTACATTTGATTACAAGACCACTAGTTGTTGTTGCTGCTGCTGCAGCACTTTTTAGTTCGTGTACACTTATGTCCAGATTAAATAATAAAAATATAATTTCCTTATAAAAACACACTATTGAAATATATCTATACACAGCAATCAAAACGAAATATAACAAAAATTAAATAAAAACACTTAACCAAGGGGGTATCAGCGGCAGCGCCAGTACTTTGGAGGAGCTTTGCTGTTTTTTTTAATAAAATTTAGTCCCGTTTACAAAACGTCTCGTCAGTTTGATCAGTTCTTGATCGGACCTTGTCAGTAACGGTTATCATTGGTGCATTCGAATGCGCTTGGCGTATTGTCGAAGACGACGAAGAAGATCAATTAAACAAATTTTAAAAACGCAACAGCAACGCTAATTATTAAAACGAAATAAGTGAAAATCTCTCCTTTTTTCCTAAATTGGGAAAATTTACAACAATAACAAATATAAAGACAATTTGTTGTTATAAAACAAAAGAATTAAAAACGTGCAACAACAATAAAAATCACACAATATAAATATGGTTAAAAATAGGCGTTATGAAGAGCAAGGTAAACGAAAATAAATTAATTTGTTCGGTGAAACTATAAATGGATGCAAAGGGCCACTCCTTGTAAATGTACAAAACAAAATTTGTTAAAGTTATACCTCAATGGATACGCAAAGTTTTATTTTTATTTATTGCACACAAATATGTATTTGTGATTGTGTTCAACAGAATAATATGTCACCTAGGTTAGGGTATATTCCAAATTTACTTTTTTATACCCTTCACCACATTGTGGTACAAGGGTATTATGTCTTTGTGCATATGTTTGTAACAGGCAAACGGAAACGAGATAGATACATGTTTCGTTTTGAGAAAATGCATACAATCTCTTTCTGAGTCGATTTATGCATATCCGTCGTAAAATTGTAAACAAAGTACAGGTCGCATCTATGATCAGAATTGGATGAAATTTAACACAGCTCAGCTAATTGGCCTAGCCCTTTTGAAATTGGACTAGCCCTTTTGAAATTGGGAAAAATCGGATCAGATTTACATACACTCCCATATATATATTCGTCCGATTTTAAATAAATCGATCACCAAAGACCCAAAATTAGGTTGATTAACACAAAATTTTGCACAGCGTACTGATTTAGGTCCAAAATTATGTATGCGAAGTTTTGTTGAAATCAGATTTATATATGACTCCAATATGTATTTTCGTCCGGTTTTAAGTAAATCGTGCACCAAAGACCCAAAGTTATATTAGATCCAGATTGATGTATTCGCGGTTTTGTTGAAACCGGATCAGATTTAGATATAGCTCCCATATATATTTCCGTCCGATTTTTAGTAAATGGTGTACCAAAGACCCAAAGTTAGTCCAATTGTTGTTAAGATGCTTATGTTGAATATACCCAAAGTGGTTAAAGTCCGTGAATTTTTTTTTTAAGTTTTTATATGTTCGGAAGCCTTGCAAACTGTGTAATATGATACAAAAAGAAATTAAAAACCAGTGAGCGGAGCAGTATAATCGGACGGGGCCGACCATATGATACCCTACACAACTTCCATGAACATCTAACTTTCTGTTGCACCACATTCTGAGCTTGGGCAATATTTCGCGATGTTTGCACCCTCTTGACCCACTAGAGGTCAACAAATCGACTCGAAAAAAACTAACAAAAAATACGTTTTCGGTCCACTTCATCCCAATATTATTATCTGATCATCACCAAAAATTATAGGCGTTGTCCTTGACCATACCTGGATACTAGTGAAAAATATCAAAGCGATGAGCGCTATATTTCCGCCTTCTACTGTGGTAATGGGTTACTAAATAATATTTAAGTACGTAAGCACCGGTAAACATTTAAGTATAACTCCCACATCCGAGTGCATACGACAATAAAATTGGTACCAATTTAAAGGTCAATCACTCCTCTTGGGTATACTATCAACTTCCCGGATCTATGTCCTTCATGGGAAAAACTATACGCTACAGGATACAAATTTTGTAATTTTTCACACAAAAGTCAGGGTCCATTTGATCTGCTAAATATTGACCGATTTCTATCAAAACAGGCATGCTTATCACGATCCCTTCCCCATGCAAAAAATTACGGTGTTTGGGCCATAATTGCGGCCTCTGGAGCGACCAGAAAAACCGACAAAAATAAAGTTTTTGGTCAATTCATCCCCTAAATATTAACCGATCTTTTCCAAAAACAATAGGGTTCTTCATTGGCCACAACCCATCCTACATTCAAAATTTCGTGAAGATTGATCCATAACTGTGGCCTGTATCGTGTTTACAAATCATAATGGACAGACGGACACATGTCTAGATCGACTCAGCTAGTCGAGATATGACGATCGAATGATTTTTCGAAGACCCCATAAACTATATTGGCAATATTGAAATTTTTTTATTATTCTATTTTCATTTCAGTTTTTTTTTATTTCCGTACTACATCAATGAATTTTGGTACATACACTGGCTATACGAAATGTGAACCCATAAATTGGGAGGGTTGTTGACAAATTTCTTATATCGATGCAAAAAAGGAAAAATCGGCAAAGGTCAAGTATTAGAGTTATTAACTCTAATGTTCATGAAGGAAAATGTTAGTTTGAGGTCGTTGCTGGTTGTTTTTGAAATGATCCAGTTGACTCTTGAGCTCAGAATTTACATATATATGATTGGTTAGCTTTCAAAGATATTCATATACGTTCAATCGATTTAAACATTTATTGGGATATATTCATTGTAAACATTTCATATGAATCCGACAATAAGAACAAAAAAGACGAACAAGTATTCAAGATAGATCGAGGCTATATTTTACAAAAATATTCTTCATTCGAGTTGACATATCACCATAAAAACAAAAATGTAAAATAGCCACAAACAAAGGAATATTCTGGGTTCCTAATATACTCTCCAAGGGCTTACATGCCCATAAAGAATTTTTCATCCTCCTGACCATGACCTCTTAATTTTCACAATTTCTGTAGCGGTCGTTGTATTGGCATTGAGTTCTTCTTCAAAATATCCCCCCTTAATATGTACTCCTTTGCACTCGTATGAGGGGCCAACTAACTAACTTCATTTTTCCTAGGGTGTGTAAAGTATGTTGATGCCGCGCATTTATTTATGGTTTACAACTAGCGGATATTTTCTAAAATTGTCCCGAATGTTCTCGGTGCGGAACTATATAACATTCAAATATTCGTAAAAATCATATTTTCAATTTTTGTAAAGTTTACATGGGTAACCACTTCTTATGGGCGCTCATCTCACCACGTCTAAACATACCATATCATTCACGGAGAAATATTTTGTAAGAATGTCCCCTATCTGAAAGCTATATTTTATGACCACGCGATATTCTCTTTTATTATTATTTTTTTTCATAATATTTGTTATTGCTTCGTCTGAAAGCTGTCAAATTTAAGTGGTCGTTTTTTTCAAGTAGTGCAATCAATGTGTCAGGTCAGAAACTTTTGGTATGTTATCAAAATTCGGAAATGGGACTATGTCAACAAGTAGATTTCTTGTTAACATTTTGTGTCAAGAGCTGTTCTAAGCATTGAAAATCTGGTAATGACCAATTTATGATGAGGAATTTTTGTACCAATGTAGAATTTATTATTCCATAATACAGCCATTTTTAACTTGAAAAATTCGGCTAAGACCTGCAAAGTACTACAAATCAGGCGGACCATTATATGAGCGACTATGTAAATATTGTATTTCGATTTGCAAAGAAGTTGACCAGACCCCATATCCATACTTCACTAACAGTTTGCTAACAAAATTTAAATTCATTGGGGAGTTTGTAGCTCGATAAGACATATTACAATGCGAAATATTTGAGCAAAATCGAGAAATTTGAACATTGGTGGGAGGTAATTCGAGGATCCTACACAAATACCTCAGAGCTATAAGTTTCTGCGGATCTATATTCCATGTTTTTATACCCTTCACCACACAGTGGTATAGGGTATTATGTCTTTGTGAATATGGTAACAGGCAAAAGGAAACGACATAGGCCCATGGTTCTTTTTTAAAATATGCATATAATCACTTTCTGAGTCGATTTATACATGTTCGTCCGTCCGTCTGTTGATGTTAAATTGTAAACAAAGTACAGGTCGCATTTCTCATCCGATTTCGATGAACTTTGACACAGCTCATTTATTTGGCCCAAGGACGAACCCTATTAAAAATGGGAAAAATCGGTTCAGATTTAGATATAGCTTCCATATATATTTTCGTTCGATTTAAGGTAAATGGTGCAACAACGTTCCTAAACATCTTTCGATTTGGCAACAAAATTTGGCATAGTGTACTGAAGTAGGCCTAGAATGACGTACGTAAAGTTTCGTGAAAATCGTAGAATAGTTTCGTGAAAATCAAAGGATTTGCAGAAATTTGGAATAGCGTACTAAATAGCGCCCATATATATTTTCGATTTAAGGTCCGTTTATATATATTTCGATTTGCACGAAATTTGGAATAGCGTACTAAATTGAGTCTATAATGATGTGTGCTAAGTTTCGTGAAAATCGGTTCAGATCTATATATAGCCCCCCTATATATTTTCGATAGATATCTTTCGATTTGCACGAAATTTGGCACAGCGTATGTGTGAATTGAATTTTGCTCCCATATATATGATTTGTGTCCCCAAAATATATTTCGATTTGCACGAAATTTGGCACAGCGTACTGAATTATGTTTAGAATGATTTGTGCTAAGTTTCGTGGAAATTGGTTCAGATGTAGATATAGCTCCCATATATATTTTTGTCCGATTTAATGTAAATGGTGATTTAAAGTCCCTATATATCATTCGTTCAATTTCATGTTAATGTTCTTTCGAAAAGGCGACGTCTGTTAGGATACTATGTGGTGAAGGGTGTCATATAGTCGGCCCAGTCCGACTTTACTACTTTCCTTACTGTTTTTTTTTTCATTTTAGCCATTAAATATTGACCCTTCATTACAAAGATAGTCATTCGAATTAGTTGGTCAGAACGCCTTCCCCATGGAAATCTTGTGATGTTCGGCTTACAATTATGGCGTCTAGAGTGACTAGAAAACCAGAAAAAATAAAGTGTTCGGTACATTCCACCACCGAAATATTCTCTTGGATCTTCTTCTCCGGTCTATGTCCTTCAGATAGAATAGAATTCATTTTTTTTTAATTTTTCACCCAAAAGTCAAAATCCATTTGATCCGCTAAATATTGACCGATCTTTATCAAAACAGTAATGCTTACTCTTTGGCCAGATCTATATTTGGAAGCAAAACTATGATTTGCATAGCTACTCACATCGAAAGTTATTGTGCGTTCCGATTATATCGACAAACAGACTCTAACTTGACTGAAACAAAGATGGTCCAGTGACAGATGGACTAAACCCGACTTCTCAGTATGCCACTCCATTTTTCCATTGTATTAAATGTAAATAATTTCATTAGTTGTGATTCAGAGTAATTTTTGCCCTCCCCCAAAGTCGACCACGTATGCCGCACTATTAGCCATGTTCAGTACATTTAGTAACATCTCTGGCATACCAAATTTAGCGCACCGATTGATGAAAATAAAATCAAAACGTGGCATAACATGTAAAAATATTACGAGATTAGATTGCCAATTAATTAGCAATACACACCCACACAAACACACATTATCGGAGAGGGGGTTTTTCCAAAGTCGTTGTTTACATCTGCCACAGTGCTGAAATTTCCCACTACAAACATTCTACGACGTATTTGAAATTTATTGAACTGGTTTAAGCCAGCCACACGCCGATTTAACTAGTTAATGCAAAAACTTTGATTTTGAATTTCCATTTTTCACATTTTCTTTTCGTTTTTCTTTTTCATTTCATTGCAGGCTCAGTGTTTGGCGTCAGACATTTACAATGTTTCCTGCTATTCTGTGGTCTATCAGTGGCCTATGCCCTGAGAGTAAATCTATCGGTGGCCATTGTGGCTATGACCGATAAGCAAGCCACAAATCCGGACTTTGATGTAAGTAAATTGAGGGTGAAAGATCTGTCAAACATAATTAAATAATTCTTATTTTATTTTCCCAGGAATACGATTGGTCGGAGAAAACCAAATCATTACTGCTGAGCAGCTTCTTTTGGGGTTATGTCATTACCCAAGTTCCAGCTGGCCAATTGGCTAGGAAATTTGGTGGTAAAATTATGATGCTGACTGGCGTATTCGTGTGTTCCCTCTTGACGGTATTGACACCGATTTGTGCTCGCCTCGGTGATTGGCAATTGGTGTGTGCCTTACGTGTTATCATGGGTCTGAGCCAGGGTTTCCTGTTTCCCTCAACACACACCATCTTGTCGAAATGGGCACCAGTTGAAGAGCGAGGAACTTTGGGTACCTACAGCTATTCGGGTACACAATTCGGCACTGTGGTTATGTTAGCCACTAGTGGTGTTTTGGCCTCATCCGTTATGGGTTGGCCAAGCATCTTCTATTTTTCCGGAGGTATTGGCTTGGTATGGTCGGTGGTATTTCTCATTTGGGGTGCCAGTTCTCCAAGTGAATATCGCAACATATCCCCAGAAGAAAAGAAACTCATTGAAACCTCCTTGGGATCGAACAATGAAGATGAAGCCGCAAAAGTTCCCACAAAAACACCGTGGGTGAAATTCTTTACCTCGGTACCATTTTTGGTATTGATTCTTACCCACTGCACACATAATTGGGGTTTCTGGACATTGCTTACGGAAATTCCTTCGTATATGAAAAATATTCTCGGTATGGACATAAAGAGTAATGCCCTGTTATCGGCTCTGCCATATGCTGCCATGTTCCTGATGAGTTTTGTCTTCTCGGCCGTGCAATCACAGCTAGGTAAACGTGATTGCATTCCTCTATCGGTCAGTCGTAAACTGTTCAATTCCATTGGCCATTGGATTCCCATGATAACATTGGTGCTGCTGGGTTATGTATCGGCCGATAATACAAACTTGGCCATTATTTTGCTGACCATAACTGTGGGTATTAATGGTGCCACCTATTTGGGTTTCCAAGTGAATCACATTGATTTGTCACCCAATTTTGCTGGTATTCTGATGGGCATCACCAATTGTGCGGCAAATATTATGAGTATTATTGCCCCGCTGATTGTGGGCTTTATCGTCACCAATGAGGTAAGGCCCAAGAATAACATTTTCATTTTTCATCTTCAAAATTCTAATAATTATTATTTTTACTTTGTAGAAAGATCCCGATCAATGGCGTATTATATTCTTTATTGCTGCCGGTTTCTATTTCATTGGCAATTTGCTCTTTGTGCTCTTCGGCAAAACGGAAGTCCAGGCCTGGAATGATGCCCTACCCCAACCGTCAAAGGAAAAACGAAATTCCACATTTGTGGAGTCGCAACATTAGTTTAGCCTTTTCTTTTCTTTAGTGAATTTATTTCTTAATTTTCTTTGGTTAGTTAAGTTTTTATCGATCGTATGCCTAAAAAATCGGAATATTTTATAGTCTTTTCGTAATTGTTGTAAACTTGCTGTGCGTTTTGTTTTTTTGTAATATTCAACAGTTCCTTGTGAGAAAAGACGTTTACACAAAAGTCTTCAAACAAAAAATAAGAAAAAAAATACTAAAAAAGATTTTTGTTTTATAATTATGTTGTTATATAGTATTAGTTTAGTTTTGTATATTTCTATGTCCCCGTTATGTATTTAACATTGTTTAGTTATAGCATTTTTTAATGTTAAAATTTGTATTTAAGGAATAAAATAAACAAAAAACGAACTGTTTTATAAAATAGAAAATATTTCATTCATTAATTGAAGCACACCACCATAAGATGAGGGATGTATTATAAAAACAAGTGAAAAAGAGTTAAGTTCGGCCGGGCCGAACTTTGGATACCCTCCACCATAGATATACTGACAGGTACTTTGAAATAGAAATATAGGGAACATACCAAAAAGTGTACCCATACCGACATTTCTACAAACCGATTATGGTCCTAAATATTGATCCTACACCACCGTGTTTCTTGGACCAAATTTGTTTCAAAAATTTTTGATTTCATCCACACTTTGCCCATCTTATTATTTCTTCCGAAATTACTGCAGCGAATTCGGTTGAAAAACGTGCTCAAGAACCCCAAAATACCGAATTTTGGGGGGTCCCTTTGGACCAAATTTGTTTCAAAAATTTTTGATTTCATCCACACTTTGCCCAAATTTTTATTTCTTCCGAAATTAGTGCAGCGATTTCGTTTGAAAATCGTGCTCAAGAACCCCAAAATACCGAAATATGGGGGCTATCCGAAAAAATTGACCTATTTTTATAATTTTTTGTGGACAGGTTTGGTACCTACTAAGAACTCAAAATACTAAATAACAGCCAATTCGGTGAAAAAATACGATCAAAATCCCCACAATACTGAAAATTAGGAGGTACCGTTATATGAGGGCTACCAGAAAAAGTGGACCTATATTTATAATTTTTTTGTGGAGACATTAAGTACACAATAAGAACTTAATGTACCAAATTTCAGCGTATTCGGTTGAAAAACGCGCTCAAGAACCCCAAAATAACGAAAATTGGGGGCACCCTTATATGGGGGCTATCCGAAAAAATGGACCTATACTTATATTTTTTTGTGGATCGATTTGAAACCTATTACGAACTCAAAATACTAAATTACAGCCAATTTGGTGCAAAAATACGATAAAAACCCCCAAAATAATGAGAATTAATAGGTACCGTTATGTGGGGGTTACCAGAAAAAGTGGACCTATATTTATAATTTTTTGTGGAGACATTTAGTACTCAATAAAATCTCAATGTACCAAATTTCAGCGTATTCGGTCGAAAAACACGCTCAAGAACCCCAAAATACCGAAAATTGACGGGGTACTGTTATATGGGAGCTATGCCTAAACGTGGACCGATATATCCCATCTTCGAACTGGACCTGCCTGCAGAAAAAAGAAAAACGTATGCAAAATTACAGCACCCTATCTCAATTCCTTCAGAAGATAGCGTGATTACAACAGACGGACGGACGGACATTGCTAGATCGTCTTAGAATTTTACCCTGATCAAGAATATATATTTCGATGAGTAACAAACGGAATGACAAAATTAATCGCATAAAGTTCCTATAAATCTGAAGTAATATTTTAGACCAATCTACACCTTAAGAAACAATTTTAAGACTGGAAGCAATATTTAAAACCAGTAAGGAAAGTAGTAAAGTCGGACGGGGCCGACTATATGATACCCTTCACCACTATCTTCACCAGAACAATTAACATGAAATTGGATGAACTAAAATATGTGATATTTATGTGAATCAAAATATATCAATCTATTTGCATGTCATTTGTTTCTTACAATGGGACAAATGTTGGGCCGTTGGGCTATGTCTGTACTTCTAGAAAACCCAACTACGTTATTCTATGCTCAATTTTGTGCGTTGTGCAAAATTTCATGTCAATTTGACAAACACCATTTGCACCGTTTACTTAAAATCGGACGAAAATATATGTGGAATTTATATCCAAATATGAACCGATTTCAACAAAACTTGTCACAGGTTGGGTTATACCAATTTCAGTACGTTTTGTTCCTATCAACCATATATTGGTTCATTGGTTCGTCAATTACTTAAAATCAATCGATCTATGCAATATTAGAACTTTGGTACATTATTTACATTAAATCTGACGGAAATATATATATCTTAATCTGAACCGATTTTCACGAAACTCAGCACACATCATTCCAGACTCAATCCTGTATGCTATACCAAATTTCGTCCAAATCGAAAGATTTATAGGAACTTTGGTGAATCTTTAACATAAAATCGGACGAAACTATATATGGAAGCTATATATTAATCTGGACCGATTTTTACGAAACTTGGCATAAAGCACTCTAGGCTCAATTAAGTACGTTATGCCAAATTTGGTGCAAATCGAAAGATATATAGGGACTTTAGTGCATCATTTACATAAAATCGGACGAAACTATATATGGGAGCTATATCTAAATCTGAACGGATTTTCACGAAACTTGGTAGACATCACTCTAGGCTCAATTCAGTATGTTATGCCAAATTTCGTGCAAATCGAAATATATATAGGGACTTTGGTGCACCATATACATAATATCGGACGAAACTATATATGGGAGCTATATCTAAATCTGGACCGATTTTCACGAAACTTGGCAGAAATCACTCTAAGCTCAATACAGTACGGCATGCCAAAATTCGTGCAAATCGAAAGATATTTAGGGACTTTGGTGCACCATTTACATAAAATCGGACGAAAATATATATGGGAGCTATATCTAAATCTTGACCGATTTTCACGAAACTTGGCAGACATCACTCTAGGCTCAATTTAATACGTTATGCCAAGTTTCGTGCAAATCGAAAGATATATAGGGACTTTAGTGCACCATTTACCTTAAATCGGACGAAAATATATATGGGAGCTATACCTAAATCTGAACCGATTTTTCCCAATTTCAATAGGGTTCGTCCTTGGGCCCAATAAGTGAACTGTGCCAAATTTCATCCAAATCGGATCATAAATGTGACCTGTACATTGTTCACAAAAATACATGGACGGACGGACGGACGGACAGACGGACGGACGGACGGACAGACGGACATGCGTAAATCGACTCAGAAAGTGATTCTATGCATATTCTCAAAAGGAACTATGGGTCTATCTCGATTCATTTTGCCTGTTACAAACATATGCACAAAGACATAATACCCTGTACCACAGTGTGGTGAAGGGTATAAAAATCTCCACACATAAAAAGTTTATGAAAATACTCACTTAAGGGGACCCCCCCATTCTCGGGGTCAAAAATTTTGTTGATATAATTCGAATCTACACAAATTAAAGAATGTCCCTACAAAATTTCAAATAAAAATCTCAACAACTCTTGAAGATATAGCCGATTTATTGTGTCAGCATCAAGTGACGGTTGAAGGGCTTCTCAAACTTTAAACGCGTTTTTCTCTAAACATTTTTTTGCGAATGGCGGGCACGATAACTCAAAAACTAATAATCCAATCGGTTCCAAATTTTGCAACGTTTCTCTGGGAGTGTATAGCTTTCGTATGAACTAGGATAAAGCCAATCGGTGAAGATCTTCCTTATTTTTTAACTTGGTTTTTTTGGTAAAAAATCGGCGATTTTCTAAAAATATTTTTTTTTTAAAGGTCCACCATTTTGTTAATTTTAGAGCGAAGTCAATAATCCTAGTTCATACGGGAGCCAGACATGTACTCTTTCTAACACCGTTGGAATTTTCGGATTCCGATGTTCCAGTGAGGAGTTATCATGCCCGCCATCAAAAATAAGGACTTTTCTTTAATTACAAAAAATTTTGTAAATTATTCTTCTTCTCTTTTAAATCTTCAATTATATATGTGCAAAGTTACAAACCTTAACAAGCATTTGTATTTCATTTATGTCTACAATGACGTGTGCTAAGTTTCGTGAAAATCGGTTCTGATTTAGATATATTTCCCATATATAGTTTCGCTCGATTTAGGTAAATGGTACATCATAGTCCCTGCAAATCCTTTGATTTGCACGAATTTTGGCATAGCGTACTGAATTATGTCTAGAATGATGTGTGCTAAGTTTATAGCTCCCATATGTGTATATTTTCGCCCGATTTGATGTAAAATGTACATCACACCCCTAGTATTATATGTTCGATTGAGACGAAATATGGCATAGTGTTTTGAATTTAGTCTATAGCTAGGTTCAGATTTAGATATGGCTCCTATATATATATTTTCGCCTGATTTTATGTAAAAATCCCAAAGTCCGCTTGATACGAAATTTGGAATTTCACAATGTGTGCCCTGTCCGATTTTGATCTTTCTATACTGGCTTTCTTTTCAGTAAAAGCGTGACATTGACGAAAATATATCGCTTAACAATCTCACAATGTAAAATTTGTGGTATCGTGCTATAAAAGGACAATTGGCAAAATTGTGAAGAAATTTGAAGAGACTAGAGCTGATACATACATGGTAAAGCATTTACGTAACCATTTTGTTCATTCCGCTGAAAATATTGCTGCTGTAAGTGAACGTGTTGCCTATGACACTAATGCGTCATGAATTTGCATTTTTTTTAGGGAACATCATGGTGTATTTTTTCATTTAGTTCTTCACCTACATACATATAAGGTCTAGCTCACGCAAAAAGTTAAACCAGCTGACCTTCCACAACGTGCGGGCGGTGGACGGCAAAGTTATCGAACAAAATGTACCTCAGCGATCAGCATATTTATCAATCGATCTTAATTTGGATTCTGAGAATACTCAAATAATTGAAGAGAGGTCAATACATTCATAAAAAGTCAGTGTGCTCCTTAGTGCGACAGTGTGATTGGGCCTTACTTTTTCGCAACCGAGCATAGAATAACTGTCACCAAAGCGTTATGGTCATATGATTTCCTACTTTTTCCCTGTTATTAAAGAATATGACATGGAGAATATGTGGTTTCAACAAGAGGGTACCACATGACTCACAACTCAAGTGGATTTGGCTTTATTGCAAGAGACATTTCATGGCCGTATACTTTCTAGAATCAAGGCTTGTTACAGTTCGCGTGGAAATCACTCGTGTGTAATGTAAACGTTCAAACTATTTAGTATTTTTTATCGGAGTTAGCTGTTAATTTTCATTGGAATCAGCCTCATTTTCACCCCTTTATATTATGATTGTTCTAACCATTTTTATCAAACACTTCAAAACTATTTAACTATGCCAAAATTGTCTCATGCTAAAGGATTTATTCCATACATTTATTTCAACAACTTATTATTTATTAATTATGTTAAGAATTATTTTAAAAATTACATTTAATTATTTATTTTCTAAAAACAATGCACACATTTGTGCTTATTTGTCATTTTCATTTTCCTTATTTGGGGAAGATGGACTTGGGTCCATCAATTGCATTTCCAGAGGTTGTGGTGAGGGTTCATTCCATTTTTGGACTTTGGTTTGGCCAAAGACTAAGAAACTTAAGTTACCCACAAAATAAAAACCGGCAGCAATGAAGAATACGATACGCCATTGCAGGGGATTGGTCTGGGAGAAGGGATGAATGAAAGGGAACATGAAATTGTCATTTTTGTGAAAAATCATTTAAAAGATGTTGTTTAACTACTTACCACATCTGTTACCACAATGCCCACGGTTAGAGGTGCAAAAATACTCATCAGATTTGCTGCGGTATTGGTAATACCCATCAGAACTGAGGCGAAGTTTGGCGACAAATCCATGTGATTGACTTGGAAACCCAAAAATGAGGAGGAATTAAGACCAACGGCGAGGACGATGAATGTTACAGCCCACATCAAATGACTGGAATCGCAAAAACCCAATGCCACCAGGGAAACCATGGGCAGCCATTGACCAATAGTGTTTAAAAGTTTGCGACTAACATTTGTCGATACCCATTGACGTTTGTGCAGCAAATCGGCCAAATACCCGAAGAAGAATGTCAAAAGTAACATAATCAAATAGGGCAGGGCCGAAAATAGGGCATTACTTTGTATGTTCATGTTGAGTATATATTTCATATAGGTTGGCAGTTGAGTGAGTAACGTCCAAAAACCCCAATTATGGGCACAGTGATCGACCAGTAAAGCCCAACATGGCAATGATTTGACGATTTCACGTAAAGGAGTTTTGGCTGGTGCTTCCGAGCGCTTTTCCGTATTTTGTGTGGGCTGTTCCAGGGATTTTAAAATCATTGATTTTTCTTCGGGTGAAATATTTTTGTAGGAGTGTGGAGTGTTTGCACCCCACATGTGCCAAACTAAACACCACATGAAACCCAAGACACCAGATATATAGAAAATGCTGGGCCATCCATGGAGACAGGATATAATCCAGCCACTGCTGCCGAACATTACCACGGCACCTAAAAATGTTCCGGCGTAGGCTAAACCGCACAATGTGGCTCTCTCACCTGGTGGTGACCAACGGGACAACACACTATGGGTACAGGGAAACATAACACCTTGTGAGAAACCCTGTATGACACGAGCCACTATCAACAGCTGCCAATCACCAACCATTACCAGATACGGTGTCAATAAGGCCAATGTGGAACTAATGATATTGCCCCATAGGAATATACATTTAGCACCCCATACACGGCACAGATATCCGGCCGGAATTTGAGTTACCACATAGCCAAAAAAGAAGCTGCTTTGAATCATCGACTTTTGCTTCTCCGTCCATTGGAAAATCTAGAACGAAGAGGGGGAGGTTTTATATATGTTTCCTATGAGCCACTGTATTTCACTAGACTTACCTCAACACCTTCCTGCTTGTCATTCATGTCCGTCATTGCCACAATGGCCACCGAGAGATTTACACGAGTGGCATAGCCCACTGAAAGGCCCAAGGCCAGCAACAAACACTGCAAATGTCGTATTCCAAATGTTTTACTGGTCGGCAACACTTCCAAACTGGTATGGCCCATTTTTGAATTATTTATTGTTTTCCGAAAATTTATTTTTTGTTCGCTCTAAGCAGATAACTACCTCCTTTCAGTTGGAGGCCTGAAACATTTATGACTGTGTTCACATTCCATACTTTTGAATGAAAACTCTTTGGACCATATCAGATTCGTGGAGGGTTCGATCGTTTAGCCCAAAATTGGCAATGTGTGAATTGGGATCAACAAAGAAGCTCGCTTGCTCGCTCGGCTTGGTGACAAATACACATGTCACACGGCAATGTGCTCACGTACTAATGAAGTGATAATCAGGAATAAATATTTTCCATTGGCCAGGTAAACAACTATGGATCAATGTACGCAGTCGCGGGACATTAGAATCTTCAAATATTTTTTCGTCGTAAATAGAAATGACCCAGGCGCGCAAAGCTTTGTATAGCTTGATATATTTTCATAGCTCGTTGAACTTGAAGTCGGTACCCTTTTCCAGAACATCTGTAACCAACTAACCAGAACTATGTCAATTACTATAGTAAAGCTAGACTTGAAGCGTGTGTTTACCCAAATCATTAGGGATATTATCTACGTCAAGGTCTTAAGCAACATATTTTGTTGTTCTTTCTGGTCAACATAACACACCCACCTATTGACAATGTCGTCGCACTTTCTGTCACCGACAGTAATAATGTGCGAATTAATATTTAATTGGCGCGAATAAATATCAAATTTGCCACTGTCTGGTCTTGTTGTCTCTCTAACCATATATGGCGCTAATCGATCCGATCAATTTGAATTCATTGTCTCCATCGAAGAAAGAAATTCGACTATGTTTGCATGTCTTCAATTTGCATGTTATTTTGGCAAAACATATAAAAATTTCCCATGCGAGGGTCCATCGGAAAGCGTGGTTGACGCATTAAACTCTAAATACGTAAATAAATCATGAAAATTAAAATCACAATCACTCATATACGAAAGTTAATAATTATATATTGGGTCAACAAAATAATAATGCATTACTTATGATTGGATATATTTTATTGTTTTCAATCTAGTCGGCGAAAAAGTTTTATTGTGTTTGAAAAATCACCTTGTATCCAACTGAAGTCGAGCAAACTTACGAGGCTTTCCACTAGCCCACATAATAATAACCTCATAACCACATAATAATAACCTCAATCACAAGATGAAGTGAAGTATAATTATAGGTCATCCTGTTTGCGTTTTGGTATAGACGACATTTAACCTATCGTCTCATTCTCAATTTTTATACCCTTCATCACACTTTGGTGCAGGATATTATGTCCTTGGCAAAATTTTTGTAATATGAAAAAAATGAGATAGAGGGATAGAATCATTTTTGGGATAGGTTAAGTTTCGGTATAGCTCATATTTAATGGTTCCACCATATTTTCGTTATGTTAATGGTTCTATCCTATGCTTCCGATAATTTGGTATTTTGCTTTGTTATACCCTACACAACTATGTTGTTAGGGTATTATAGCTTTGTGTAGCCCCAAGAGTTTGTAACGCCGCGAAATATTGGTCCTAGACCCACCTTTAAGTATACCGATCGTCATATCTCGACTAGCTGAGTCGATCTAGACATGTGTGTTCGTCCGTCTGTCCATTATAATTTGTAAACACGATACAGGCCACTGTTATGGACCTATCTTCACGAAATTTTGCATGTTTGGCCAATGAAGACCCCTATAGTTTTTGGAAATGACCAGTTAATATTTAGGGGATGAAATGGACCCAAAACTTTATTTTTTTCTGGTCGTTCAAGGACAACGCATATAATTTTCGGTGATGATCAGATAATAATTTTGGGATGAAGTGGACCGAAAACTTAACTTTTTGTGTTGTCGATCTATAGGCCGCAATTGACAACCCAACCTCACAACATAACCTACGGCAAAGAGAATCTGGACAAGTACAGCCCTCGTCTACTGAATATTAGTAATATTTGTTGACCTGTTAACGCAAAATTAGATTTTCATAGAAGTTGTGTAGGGTATCATATGGTCGGCCCCGTCCGATTATACTGCTCCGCTCACTGGTTTTAAGATAGGTTACGTTTCGGCATACCTCATATTTAATGGTTCCCTCCTATTTTTGTTATGTTAATGGTCCAATCCTTCTTTTTCGATAATTTGATATTTTGCTTTGTTTTCTTAATATTTTTAGTAGGGAATTTAGCCACAACTTGTTACTATTTTTCACCGAATTAGTTGCAATTATAGTAAAATGATAGGTCGACTATTTCGCTTAGCCTCCATATAACGGTATACCAAATTTTGCATCCAAATTGATATTGAATGATAGAGCGGTACCAACGCCTTAAGTGGTTATTTATACTCTTTCGAGTCGAGCTTGATGATCTATGTTTTGCAATGAAAAGGAAAGCCAGGAGAAGAACCTACGTACCCACCATTATGCGACGCGTTTCGCCGTTGGTTAAGCGGCTCATTAGGCATATTGGGGCTATGTGGCTTTACAAATGTCGTACGTTGATAACTTGTATTTATTCCGCCCTGATGCGAAACTTGCATATGCGAATTAAATTCAAATTTTGTCAAAATTCGACATTTGTCTTCATTCTAAGAACAGTCTTTTTCAAAGCAGATTTTTGTTGTAGCGATGGATAATTAATCCACACACCTACAATTGCTTCCTTGTTTTAGCTATTTTCACCCCTCAAATTGTCTGTAATTTGGCATTTAGGTTGGCATTTATGCAGAAAATGTTCTACACAGGTCTATATATTCGAACATGGAGCTATTTGAAAAATATGCCTGCGAATTTCTTGTAGGGTTCATCTTTAGTGAGTTAGAAAAAATCGATACCTAATTTATTCTGCAGATAGGTCAAATTCAACATGGAACATGTCGTTGAGGAATATTTGCCATATTCCCATGTAATTTATTATTTTGTGTTCTTATTGGGTACAAAATCTCCAATTCTCCCTGCCAAACATGATCAATAACTATTGACTATTTCGGGGAGCCCCCATAAAACCATCGAAAGACTTTCACACCCTGATCTACCGAATTCCGTCATCCATATCGTAGCTTCAAAAGTATGGGACTGCAATTCGACATCTGCCCAACGAATTTTTATACCCTCAGCCCTATGGCCAATGAACCAAATCTGTTTCAGACAATTTGGAGTCGAGTCCGTCCGCCTGTCTGGCCGGCTGGTGTGCACGATAACTCTCGACTCCAAACTTTGTGCATCGTAATAATTATACCAAATATCAAGTTCAAAGATCGGGAATATCGGCCCACTCCTTCTAGTACCTCCTACAATGGTAGAATTGTTGCTAAAAATTAATTTTGTAATATCACGGAAGCAGACTATCGGATTTATATCTTTACCAAGCCTAAATTAAGTCCGAAGATGATACCCATTTGTTCGATCCTTCTGGTGCCCGTAACACTTTTTTACTTGCTTTATTTTCAATTGAAAGTCTGTCATTGACGAAAATATATCGCTAACTTTCTTATAAAGCACCAAAATTATGAAAAAAAATATTGATTCTGGGACAGCCACGTATCGTGCTTTGAGAGGAGGGCCATTACATCCAGAAAAGTCACTGTTTGGTACATTTTTTGGTCTGGAGGTGTGACTGTACCTTACTCCTTCGAAACGATGGAAAAACTGGCACCCTCAATTCGTCGCGTTATGGTAACCGATTTTGTGCCTGATATTGAAGAATACGATTTGGAGAATTCGTCGTTTCAAAAAGAGGGTACTATATAGCAAACAACTCGAGAGAATATAGGTTAATTGGAAGAGCAATTTCCTGGTGTAAATTTTTCATTGTGGCGCAACGCGGAATGTCGTGTTCATGCAGATACATTTTCAACTCGTGAGCACTAAAAACCAATTATCGTCAAGTTATGGCTGAGATATCGTTCCTATGTGTCAGTTCGCGGGAGTCCATTTAAATGATATAGTGTTTCACACACATAATACCAAAATGAAAACATTATAATAAAACCAGTGAGCGGAGCAGTATAATCGGGCGGGGATGACCACGTCTACCACTGAACTCTAACTTTCTGGGGATCTATATTCCGTGCCTAGGCAATATTTCGAGATATTTGTCCCCTTTTCACCGATTTGAGGTCAACAGCTCCTCTTTCTTTTTTGGCCGATCATTATCAAAACAGGTTTCATAATATAATTATATAATATTATAGCGGTCGTCCTTGACAATAGCCGGAACTGCATGTTTTATTTCATAGTGATCGGCGCGATATGTACGCACCCTAGTGTGGTAATGGGAATACTAAACAATATCAGATACGTAAATCCTCTAAAATATTTAAATATAACTCCGCTATTCGATTACGTACAGCCATAAAATAGTATTAATTTAAATGTCAACCACCCTTTGGCCTACTTCTCCGGCCTATATCCATTAGGAAGAAATATTAGTTTGGGAGAAAGGAAATCAATTATTTTTTCGGCAGATGGCTGTACTGATAGATTTCTCGTAAAGTATCGATCAAACAATTTCAGATTTATGCTCGTTGAAAGGGTGATATTTCACAGTATAAAAAAATAATTTGCTGTTTTTGTTTGGTGCACACAGCAGTGAGTTACAGGGTTTTAAAAATGGAAGTGAACAAAGAGAAAATTCGGTACATTTTACAGTTTTTCTTCGACAACGGGAAAATGCAAGCCAAGCGGCTAATATTATGAATGGTATTTATGGTTGCGATACTGTAACATCCAATTATGTGTAATTTTGGAATTTTTGATTTGGTGCACCTCGCACAGGTAGGCCAGTCGTCGAAAATGTCCATAGAATTGAAGAAATGATCGAAGTTGACCGGCATTGCAAACCAAGTGGCTAATATTATAAATGGTGTTTATGGTTCCGATACTGTAACAGCCAATTATGTGACATTTTGGAATTCTTGGTGTTAAAAATGCATCTCGCACAGGTAGACCGGTCGTCGAAAATGTCTATCAAATCGGAGAAATGGTCGAAGTTGACCGGCATGTTAGCA